TCGGCCGCATCCTCCGGCCCGGCGCGGGTGCGGAGCGTTTTCCCGGCGCCTGGGTCCGCGTGGGCGCCTGGCAGCCCACCGGGGCCCACTCCCCGCGGAGAGGAGGCGCCCAGGTTATCGCCTCAGGGCGGACGGCCTGGCTCGCGGTGGCCCCGGGGCCGAAGACCAGCCCGAGCCTCCTCTCGTCTCCCTGGCTGCGGCGGCGACAGTAGCAGCGCCCGCGGCTGCGTGCTCGGCTGTCGCAGCGATGCCAGCTCGTGGAGGCGAGGTAAGGGGGGCGTTTCCAGAAGTTGGGGCTTCGGGTGACGCGTGGGGAAACTTGGATTTTTGCCGCCTGTAAAGAGTCTGGGTGACTTGGGGAAAGGAAGTTGATTCAGAATCCCAGTGGTGAAAACTAACCTCTGGCTACTTCCAGAAGATGAGAGGGATGAGCTGTGTTGGCGTTGTCCAAGATGCAGTTAAAGACAGGAGAGTAGGGATGATGTTCTGGAAACTTGGACCCCCAAATATACATAACTTACAAGCAGTCTGGTGCTCTGAGTATTGCTTACTATGGCTTCTCATAGTCCCTGGGGGAGCTGAGTTGTGGCATTCGTCACGTTGCCCGCAATCCTTTTTCCAGAGCTTGGAGTTGGCGAGTCCTCAGGAGTGGAGCGGTGGGGACTATTTACTTTCGAAATAGACTGTGATCTCTGCTTTGTGAAGGGGCAGGCGAAGGGCGTGTCTGTTGACCTACAGTTCGCTGGCAGGAACGTGTCAGCCTTTCTCCTTGGCATTTTACTGAGACGATGCCATGGGATTGAGGTCATGTCAGCACTTTGGGGCTTCATCATTGGAGAGGCTTCAAGGGATCACGGAGGGAATGTGGGGGAAGAGGGGAGGCTTTCATCTCGGAGATGTGCCCCGTGATGTCAGGGATTAGGCTGCTTTTGTGTCTGTCCACTTCATTAAATGCTTCCAGTGAGACGGTCAGCCATTGAGTTTCCTAGGTTTTATCTTCCTTGTTGGCTGATTTGGGATATCTGCGAAAATCCTGGAGGGGCGGTGGATGTGAGCAGACAAATGGCCTTGAGGGAGGAGGGATACCTGCAGGAATGCTAATTGTTTTTGACTAAGCCCTAGAATTGTGGAGAACACCCAGAGCCCAAGATACATTTATCTAAAATTAGCGTAACTAATTTAGGAGAGAATCAAATCCGTTGCTGAAATCCTCCATCCCTTTTGTAAAGTTCCCAGTCTTAGAAGTGGTGCCTTGAATCAACAGAAACACAGGGCTCCTCAGACTGGAGAAGTCACAGGTTTCTCTCTGCCTTTGTACCCACTCAGGTAATCAAGAAGATACTACAGAGTTTTATTAGAGTTTCTGTTCTTGGCATTGATGCTGCGCTTCTACCTCCAAAGGGAAAGTGAGCATTTTTAACTTGACCCTGATAAATGAGAGTTATTGGGGATATTCTTTATAAGCATAGGCTTGTGTATATGTGGCTTGAATTTACCTACTGTTGAATCTACTTGTTCATGGTTTTTCAAACACTGTTTCTTACGTATTTTTAAGTCAGGTTTAGAAAGAGGAGTGTGTGTGTGTATGTGTTGTTTCTAGTCCAGTTTCTTTTATATCTCAGAATTACACTGATTTCCCCCAATCCTCCACCCCTGGCTCCTAGCAGATCATTTGTTCCCAAAAGCAGTTAAAGATGGTGATGAATAATCTAAATTTTTACCAACTATATTCAGAAAAAAAAAGTTTATACATCTAAAGATGTACTTACTCATTTTAGGATTGTACTTTGTAACTACGTCTGTCACATTTTTCTTGGATGTGCTAAACATGTAATAAACATTTAAAAAGAAGTTTTTTTTAAAGCTGAAATAAAAAATTAAAAAAGAGGGGCTTTATTGCAAAAGCTTCAATCTTTATTCCCAAGTTTACTACCTTAATATTTATTTATTTATTTATTTGTGCCTCTCTAAACAAAGTGTTATAAATTGTGTTTTGTTGCCTCTTGCTTCGTTCTTTTTATAACTTCATGGCTAGATCAAAGTTCCTGCATTTTTTTTTTTTCCCTATTAAGAAGATATTGTAACTTCAGGAGGTTAGGAAATGCCTATTCGTTTTGGAGAGTTGCCTATCAAGTTACCAGGCTGTGTGGTGTGTGTTGAGGTGTGTGTGTGGCGTGCTCAAACTCGTGGGACAGTGTCTAAAACTTTGTGATCTGTGACATTACTGCTCCAGAACTTTTGAGTCATAATGTTTTCTTGGAGATTTTAGGTGGTGTTTAGCCAATGCAGGAAGTACTAAAAAAGAGTTAAATAATTCAAAGTTACTTTTATTGGGTAAAAAAAAAATTAAAGACAAGAAGAAAAACTAAATAAGCAGGATCAGAATTACAGCTTAACATACCCAACTGGTGCCTTTTTAATTACAGTACTTTCCCCCAGAACTTTTTAATCCTATTACTTTTATATTTAATAAGGAGACTAGTTAAAACGTAAGCAAAACAGAACTATTATAAATAATGGGGATAAATGTTGGGTATAACCAGATGTTTTGCCTAAAGTTAAAAGAGTTAAGGAATCTGAACTCTGTCAAACTCCCCTTGCAGGACCCCCCATCCCCCCCACCCCATTAGCAGGAGATTTTGAAAGGCAAACAAATCTCAGATGGAGATGGAGACAGGAAGAAAAAAAGAAAAGAAAAGAAAAAAAAGAACAGAATGTTTAAGGTAGGCTTCCCTTGTCCATTGACCAAACTAACAACCTGTCGCTTAGTGGCAGGTGCCATTTGAATGACAACTGGTGGATAAGGCTGAGTCCAAAAATGCTTTGGTTTTAAGAGCCTTTGTTTATGTACCACCCAGAGCTATGAATTAAGACTGAGCTCTTTTGCCACCCATTTCACCGTAGATTGTCAGAGTAGCGCCAGGACTGTGGTTTTGTTTTTCCCTTAACCAACAATTTAATTTCAGCCAAAGTGATGCTGGTCTGAATATGCAGAACAAGTAACGAATATCTGTATTTCCTTTTACTCTTCTAGCTGCACTCTTAACAAAATTCTCCAAGCCTGCTATTCACTTATTCAGCGATTATTTTTGAGGGCTTACCATGTACTTCATGCATTGAAGACCTCCCCTGGCCCCACCCCACACACTGAGTTCCTAGAGGGTGATACTATTTTATGCTTAACATATCTGGTAGATTCCAGGGGAAGGGATTACTGTGAGATTAAATAGTACTTGAAGGACCACAGGATCAAAGATATGCAAAGGATATGAACAGGCAAGTCCCAAGAGAAGAGACCCAAGTGCTCATAAACATGTGAAAAGATTCTCAACCAACATATTGGTTGGGGAAATGCAAATTAAAAAAACTAAGAGATTTGTTTTCTGTTCATCCACTTAATCCATGTTTTAAAGATTGGTATTATCTTCTGTTAGATGGGTTGGGGGCAACCCTCAGACACTTGGTGGGAGTATGAATTGGTGCAGCCTTTAGGGTAAGCAGACTGTTTCTGTGAACCTTTGGAACATACATGCCATATGAACCAGCAGTCTTATATTTGGAACCCTTTCTTAGAGAATTAAAAACATCAGCGTGTTGAGATCTGTGTGTGAGGATGTTTATTGAAGGATTATTGTAGTAAGTAAACTGGAAGCAACGTGACTGTCCATCAGTAGGATGAATAAAATAGTGTTTAGATACTATGGATTGTTTTGTGAAGGATGTCTGTGAGATATTGAATGTAAATGAAAGCGAGTTGCAGAATATTGTATGTAATATGATCCTATTTCTGATTTAAAAAAGAAGAAACCCTATGTGTATGATCTTGGAGAAAGATGTAGAAGGACAAAGCAAATTTAATATTGTTTAAAACTGACAGTGGGGCAAAAGGGTGATTAACTTGCTCTCTGTGCACTTTGAATGGTTTACTTGCTCAAACATGCAAGCTTTTCTATATGAAAATGCTTTATAATATTATTTGGTTAATGAATAAGAAATTCATCTGGAACCATTTTAGAAACAAAAGCTGGGCAATATCATGTTTTCTCTGATGCCTTCTGTAGCAATCTCTTGTGTCTTTGGAAACTTTCAGTTAATTATCTTATAAAATCTTGAGATTTCCCAACTTTAAGTAAATTCCTTCAACGTAAGTGATGGCTTCAGGAAAAGCTGTGTGCCTCTGTCTCCCAGGAGAGTGGTGACAGGAAGAGGTCGTGAAAGCTCTTAGCAAACGGTCTCCTTTTCCTTGACTTTCTCTGATCCAGCTCTGAGGGAAGACCAGTAG